AACTGATTTTCGACAAAGTGCCTAGGTATGTTACATGGCTCCAAGATAGTCGCTATAACAGATGATGCTGGCAGAACTGGAAAGCGATATGCAAAAGACTGAAATGAGACCTTTAACTCATGCCCTATACAAAAACCAACTCAGCATGGATTAAAGACCTAAACGTGAATCCCAAAATTATGCTATTCAAGCTACTTAAAAAAATTTATTTTTTTTCTTAGCTAGGTTTCTAATTACAAAATTGGAAAAGACATGAACCTAGTTCCTCTTACAGTAACAATGCAGGGTTCTCTTAGATAAACCAATGAGGTACAACTTAAGTAGGCTCTTCTTATATTATGATCTTATATTATGACTTAAAGTGACATTAAGTCACTTTGAATGCACAAGTTCAACTTTGTAAATTTAATTTAAACCCACCTTTTTCATTTTCTTTGTATCTACAAATGCCAACTGGAATCTCTGCTTGAAACATGGAGCCCACCATAATCTCCTATTTTAAAAATAACATAAAATGTTAGTACATACTAATAATACAGAGTTTATATCCATTTCCACCTTTAACATCTTCTTGGACAAATTGTTCCTGGTGTTTGTCTTAAAATACAGATACAACCAGTTAAATACCTCAGAGGAGTATTGTGAGGATGAATGAGTTAATAATAGATAAGTGCTTGAATATGATTGGATGAAAATATTAGTAACAATAATGGGTTAGAAATGCAATATAGACAATGGATACAAACTCTACTTCAAATATGAGGAAAAAGTAATTCCTATAATCCAATTAGTAGAATAAATGAGAAAACAGAATTCAGGTATTTCCTCAAAATATGATCCTGGGACCAGAGGATGACTGTCATCTAGGAAACCAGCAATGCAACAACCCAGACCTATAAAATAAGCAACTCTGGGGATGAGATCAAGCAATCTGTGTCTTAACAAGCCCTCTGGTGATTTTTAAAGACTTAAGTCTGAGAACCAAAGCTTTAAGTAAGGGAGTAACAAAAGTGTTTGTATAACAAACTAAGAAGGTCTAGATGGTTAAACTCCAAACCAAATGGAAAGCAGATTAACACCTGACTTTCAATAAAATAATATAAAAAAATAACACTCCCTGCATAAAAATTAAAATTTAATCTTGTTTTAAAAAATCTGGTAATCACATTTATATAGTCAAATCACAGATTAGGGAAACTGGTTATTCATAGGGCCAGTGACAATCAACTTCAGAAAAATTTCTCAACAGAGGGGACAAAGAATACAAGTATCTTCTTTGGCCTGATTGGCTAAGCATTAAAAAGAAATTTACCAGCATTTTCTAACTGAAGATTTGGGGCAGAAAAGATTCAAAATCATGTCTGGTACCTATGTACGTAGCTATTAGGATTTAAAAGTTCCTCTCCTGTTAATAATGTGTTATCCCTTACCCCTATTGATGTTTTTCTAATATAAATTCAAAGAGAAGCCATATATATATATTTTTTTTTTTTTTAACTAAAAAAGAATATTTTATTGTGATTTTATTAAATGTCTTCGTTCTAATTTTTTCAACTTCACACACCTATTCCTACCAGAAAACCAACTGTGAAGCTATCAACCCTGGCTGGAAACAATCAATGATTTGCTTGGGTCCATTCCAGACTACATACATCAAAATCTTGGGATGAAAGCTGTGTCAATCAAAACTTGAACATGAAGCTAAAGCCAGGTAGAGAACTTCTAGACGAGTAAAAACCTAAGACACCTCCTTGCTCCTATTGGGTGCAGAACACTCATTTTCACCTGCTAGTTCATTCTGTCGGGTAGGAAAGGAAATGGCCTTTAACAAGTATCGTGGCAAGTGTTTTTGGCTTGTTTTTCATCAGAATCTCAGTGAAAAACATTTTTTAGAGGAAAAATAAATGATATTAATAAGAATGACATTTATTCCACATAAATAATTTGTTTTTATCAATTCGGCAAGAAATTTCTGCTGTGTTAGCTGAAAAAAATTCTTTACTAATTTTGTTTCCTATTCTTTTCATGGCCCAGAGAGAATAGCAAACTATACACATTTGTTGGATATGGTTGATGATTGGCATTCACCTTCCATTCTCAATTGATTCTGGTTGCTATTTCATAAAATAAATTAAAAAAAAAAAGAGTACATTTCCGAGAGTCACTTACAGTTAAGGATCTTGATATAGAGAAGAATTAACCAATTATTATTAGATGCACTTCTCTGGGATATAGAAGGAAGAATGTTGTTAACTGTTGTTAGGTGCCATTGAGTCAATTCTGACTCTCAGTGACTCTGTGCATAACAGAATAAATAATTTTCAGTCCTGTACCATCCTCACAATTGTTATGCTAGAAACCCATTGCTGATGCCACTGTGCCAATCAATCTTATTGGAGGTCCTTCCTCTTTTTTTCTGATTCTCCACTTTACCAAGCATAACGTCCTTCTCCAGGAACTGGCCCCTCCTAATAATATGTCCAAAGTATGAGAGACGAAGTCTCGCTATCCTGTCTGTACGTCTTCCAATACAGATTTGTTCTTTTGGTAGTCCATGGTACTTTCAATATTCTTTTTCAACATCATAACTCAAATACATCAATTCTTCTAAGGTCTTCCTTACTCACTGTCCAACTTTCACATGCATATGAGGTTATTGAAAATACTATGGTTTGGGTCAGGCAGCACCACCTTAGGACTAAAACTGGCATCTTTGCTCCTGAACACTTTAAAGAGGTTTTGTGCAGCAGATTTGCCTAATGCAATACCACCGAGTGATTTTGGCCTTTGGTTATTTGATTTCTTGACTGTTGTTTCATGAGTGTTGATCGTGAATAAAACCAAAACGAAGTCTTTGTGAACTTCAATATTTTCTCCATTTATCATGATGTTATTTATTGGTCCATTTGTGAGGATTTT